ACGCTGGCGTTCGCATGATCGATGTCTACTTTCCTATTCGCTGGCACTGAGTGACGCTTGAAACGGATGGTCGCTGGTGGACGCTGCCGCAAAGTATGAACGCAGCCTTAGCAAGTTCAAGTATATAGTAGGAAATGATCAGACTTTGCTCGGCTGTCTTACATTGTTCTTCTTTCTAAAACAGCTCTTATTTGCTCACCGTATTTCCAGCATGTCTACTGATGAAAATAGTGGAACTATGCATGTGATGCCAGTCTCCAATACGGAAATCGAAAGACCACCGCGTCATAGCGATCGGTCCTCCGAAGATTTAGCTGTCGTCAACATTGTACACTATGAGTTCAAAGATAAAGTGAGTCGGAGGGCGCAGTTCGGCGACGGGGGGGGGCATTTTGCACTTTTGCCACTTCTCATCGACGTGTCGAGCCATCGAGAGAGCCTCACGAGAGTTGACAGGTTTTATCATGGTGGCTGGACGAGCTTGCTCCAGCTACACAAGTGTTCACAGGTTTCAGACTTGTTAACCGGAAGCTAGTGAAGCTGCGAAAGTGCAAAATGCCCCCTCCCCGTCGCCGAATAGCGCCGAGTCGGAGATTAGGAGTTGTAAAGCTACGTCAGTGTACGCCAGCGTAAGGCAGCGTTCGAGCGTACGCCAGCGCCAGTAACTTGGAAAGTATGAACGTCGTTCTAGCATGCGCCACTGATTCCGCGGGGAATTCGAGCTTGAGCCTAAACTGCCCGCGAAAACGCTGCTGTACGATGGCATACGCGGCGTACGCCAGACCGATACCTATACTTTCCTAATTCTGGCGCTGGCGTACGCTGACGCGAAGTATGAACGCAGCTTGAAGCGAAAGAGAGATGGTCACTCGTGCTATCTCTCACTGGTCATAGTCTTGCTTGAGATCGCTCGATTTTTGTTTACAGGTTGGTCAACCGTTCAAATGTCACACGTTGAACTTGTGGGTGGATGGATTCTGTGGGTCAGGTGATCCGACAAGATTCAGCCTGGGATCGCTTGGTAACAGTAGTCGACAAGTTGGTGTAATTCCAGTAAGAGGTCAAATAGGTGAGTTCATTTCTTTTGAGAGGGTGGATGCAACTTAGGTTTTTATCCTCCTAGACGAGTACGGTATGGGCGATGGTTTTTTATCCTCCTAGACGAGTACGGTATGGGCAATGGTATGCCATCGGGATGTCTTTCCAGTGTGACCAGACGCTCAAAAAAAGCGTCTCGACACAGTTCGGTAGACACCACTGATCAGCTATCATAAATAACTTTGCCAATCCATCCACCAACTAAAAGGATGCGTAAGGAATATGGTCAGGGTCTACCTGAGTCCCAAACGAAAATTAATCCTTTTGTAGTTGTCATTGCAGAAATCCTTGTTCAGGCAAAGGTATGCAAATGCAATATAATAACGGCCGAACGACGATCACATGCCTCAGTGAATCTCCATTGTTTGTGCAAGCTCCGCTACATGCTAGACGTGTGAATGACGATACATCTACTGTGTACCGATTATCTGGTGTTGCTCAAGATGATAATGTCGAGAGTGAGTTCTTATCCTTGCTTCGCTGCTTTTGTTCCCAATAATTGCCCAAAGAAATGCTCTGGGACAAACTAGTGGGGCTGGAGGACAGTGATACCCGACCGTCATCTCCATACTCTATCCGCATTGCCACATGGCCGCCGCACGTCTAACCATAGCCGAAACGCGCCTATCTTGTCTGCGCCTCTGCACATCTGCTATCTCCTAGGGCTTGGGCCTTCTGCTCCTTCTTGGCGCCAGATGTGCTGTTGCGTTTATAAAGGAGTTTGCGCGGGTCAGCGCCATTCTTAAAACACTAAATAATTAGATATCAATGATGAGAAAGGGGCCATTTCGAAGATGAGCATCGTTCAGGTTCGGGACGATAGACATTTTTGATGAACTCTTGTTTGAGCAAGCTTCTGGAAGAAGCACGCCAACAAGGATATCGACATGTATACGCCCTACAGGTGAGCATAGGAGGTCATTTGTGAGTCGTGAAACTACATTTTCCTCCCGCTACGCTCTCTTGAAGGCTAGATAGTTGAGAAAGAAGGAGCGTTCACGGCAGCGTCCTTAGAGTGAGATTCTGCTAAGGGACAGGCGGTTGCTATCTCGGTGGCAAGGCGCAGGCGAACAAACTTCTTCGCTTGCCTCTCGTTTTGATTAGGGGTCCTAATAGCTTTGAGGTGGGGCATGTGAAGGACTCCTTAATCTAGAAGTATCGTTATGGGGAAGAGTACAGTCTTGTTTGCTTCGTGTGCTAGAGCGTTGTAGGAAACTGCGGGGGTTTACCCGGCGCGGCCGACGACTCTTATCCAGCGATTGTGTGGACGGCTTCCACAATTGGGCCAGCAGCAGGTTGGCCGGCACGCCAAATTAATTCCAATAAAAACGCCCCTCGCGTCCCCGGCGACAGAAAGCCGGCCAGTGTACTTCTGCTTAAGGCGTAGTGGAAAGAAGCGATGAAGCGTCGAACAGATCCCAAGTATGGCTAGTTATTTCGTTATGACGTGAAAGTCTCACTTTGCACAAGTCCGTTGATTCCTCTTCCAAGATTGTCAGTGTCTGCCTTAACTTTCTCACCGAACTACAGAAGTGAAGTCATGAATAGTCTCAATAACTTTTAATTCGTGTATGGGAGACCTTTTAGAGTCCTCGCTGGGCTTTGACAACGTAGGCACGGTTTCGCCCCAACGACGAAAGTTATGTGTGCCTTTATGTACCCGATTTCAGAGCTTGTGCATATGCAGAGTATCCTTTGTGAAAGGTTTTGGTAAAAGTTATCGACGTATGACTATACTCGACACACCTTGCTGGATCGAAATTCACTTCATGAACTACCTACAGAAGTTGGATGAGGTTCGTGGTTTCATCTTGTCTACAGTATCGTTACAGTAAGAGAGCGGCCTTGGTTATCTAGCTGGAAATGATTTCCCAACCAGTTTTCCAAAGATTTTACCGGTTTTTTCAAAAAAAGAAACTTGTTGAGCGGGGTGGGGTGGGTATGGGTCCGCTCCAATCTAGTACCAAAACTAGCTATGAGAAACAGTGATAGCTTGCTAGTTCAGCTGCGTCGTGCCAGCTAAGAGGGAGCGAGCGGGGTGTATAAAAAGGCACATCATTAGTTGGGGATTTTGGTCGGGTTCGTACAACCCCCTCCCCTTTCTCATTCCGCTCACCTTCTTCGGCTTTCCAACATCCTACCACTTTTTCCAAAACTTCTTGAAAGTTTCCCCACTTTTTCCCGAAAATATTTTGCTGTTGAGAGGAGAAATGGGGTATATAGTAAACATGAAACAGGAAAACCCACGAACCATGAAATCAATGCTGCCAGAAGGCCGGAAGTCCCATACGACTCCCTCCCTTCCTCCAAGGATGAACAAATACGACCCCCCCCCCACCTCTATAGCGTTCCTGAAACAACAGAAATAAACTGTCAAAGAAATTTTTTCTCAGACCAAATACGACCCCCCTCTCATTCTCCCGGCGACCAAATACGACACTCCATCCCCTCTGGGGAATCCCCAACATCGATGTACCCTGGTGTGTATAACGCGCGCGAAACAGGAGAAGTTCCCAATCAGGAAAATTCACGCACGTCTCAAAGAAATTTCTCAAGGCCAGATAAGACCCTCCTCACCACCTACAGACACCTTAGAGGATTTGTACCTTCCTGTAACCAAAGTGGCCCATTCATACCATTTCGCACCTTGACAGGAGTCCACATGACTGAAATGCGAGACCTGTTGAATAACATTTATTACTAGCAAAAGTGCGGAATGACCCCTCCAGGTCTAAGAGCGCCCATTTGGTTCTTAACTCGTAACCATGTTGTTTTTAGGTTCTTTCGACGTTACCGACACCCGCCCATGATGTAAATAGCTTTTCATGAAACACTGATAAATAGGTGTTTGTATAGTAGTGCCTATCAAATTTACATATTAGTCGTTTCCATTATTGTGATAGAAACTTGTCCATAGATTTTCATAGTGGGTCGCTCACATGGTGAGCTTTTATAGTAGATTTGTATAGATTTTTCAGTTGAACAAATGTGATGAGTGTGTTGTACAGAGGGATTTACTAAAATAAATCATGTTTTTCTCTAATTGAAGGTGTTTTGCATCAAAGCAGTGGGTAGTATGGCTGGGCGGGCGATCACTGCCAGTGTCATCGGTGGAAAGGCTGCGAGAAGGCGTTTATCCACACCCACTCAGCCCATCCACCAGTGACGTTGGCAGTAACCGCCCCCAGCCGTCGTGCCCACTGCCTTCAAGCGCACCATATTGTGTCATAGTGTTGCCAGAAATCTTTATCGCAATACGTAGACTGGTTGGAAATTGAGAGGTTATTGTGTAATTTTCAAAAGTACACATTGACACGGGGACTTATGCAGGGACACTTTCTTGGTCGAATTCAAAATCGAAATATAACTTGACGGCATCGTCCTTAGCAGCTTCTCGTGGTCCTTCGTAGACGATCTGAATAATTAGTTAGGAATCGGTTCTGAAACAAGTAGTGGAGCGGTAGGGTGAGGTGGTCGCTCCCGTTTCAGATGTGGGCAATCTATACTGTGACGATGAGGATACAACGGGTCGTAATTTGTCGATGGAGAGGTCCGTACCTGCTTGTCGATTTGACGGGAGCCTATCTTATCTGCCCTTGAGAGGACTTTTTTCGCTTGACTTCTCGCGATCGCTATCGATTCGCATGTGCCTTTACCTTTTACCTTTTCGATGAAAGCTGCAGGGTTTCTGAAGAAGTGGAAGTTTGGAAAATCAAGAAACGTGGTACATAGGAAAGGGGAGGGGGGGGAGGCCGTAAACCAGAGGCAAATTTTAGGGGGATTCATTTTACGAAACTTTCCCCCAGCCGACGGAAGTGCTGTCGCTCGATATGCATTTGATGGCATAACGCACTCTTATTTAGTTGGTGGTCTGGAAGTTGCAACTGGTGATTCGTTCCTCTGAAAACGGAACTGTGCCATTTCTTTTTCACTTAATGTAGGATTAATATGCCTAGTAGGACAGAATTCGG